AAAACAAACAAACACAGGTCTAAGCCATGAATCCAGTATGAATAAGTACAATGCATAGAATAACATTGATTTTGTTTGTTGTTTAACGCCACGCCACGCTCGGCGGTCTGTAAATAATCGAGTCTGGACCAGACAGTCGAGTGATTGCCATCATGAGCATCGATCCAATTGGGATACGATGACATGCATCAAGCCAATACCACCCGATCCCGTTAGTCGCCTCTAACGACAACCATAGACTGGCATAGTCGCCTTTTACGGCAAGCATGAATTGCTGAAGACCTATGCTACCCTGGATTTTGACGGGCCAGAATAACATTGAACGCACTGCATAAAACTGTTACTATCAGTAAGGAAATATTTAGTTTGGTGTGGACCTCGCTGTTTCGAATTCCACTTGCGACACATGTTTTTCATGAAAGCATTCTATCATCATGGGGAAAAGGAAGTTCCGTCACTGCCGAGGGGTGTTTTATTGACAGTTCAGTCAATGAATGTCCGGTCAAAGACAAAGGCGCCACGGTCTATGTGCATTTACACAGTAATAGAAAAAGTAAGTGACAGGTAAAAAAATTAGACACGTTTTGTTTTACATAACTCCTGGTCTCAAAATGGCGAGTCTTAGCGCCGTATCGGAAATATGATACCCTTCTCGCCACCGCTGATGCGTGCAATCTACCAGGCACAATAGTAAATGCGATGTTTCCTAACCTTCCGGTCGCTGTTACAAATTTAGTGTATAAGAAGAATTCACTAGCCTTTTCTTCTCAGTAATACCGGAAGAGCCATCAATCCTTCATTAGTCATACTTATGACGTATTCTGTCTCCCCTGGGGAATTAACGCGTTTATCTACTTTTCTGTACAGCACATTTTTAGTTTAACAGCTTGTGACAACACGTCAACATTAACTGAAATACTGTTAACGGGTATGTGTCATCGCACATCATTCACCTGCATTGTAACTTGTGACGTAGTTTCCTTCTACCTTACATGACTAATTCACTTCCCCTGCATGATATGGTTCTGACAAGTCTAAAAACATAATCAGGGTGTCACCGTGGATAACTGTTTCTCATGTAACGGTCCAGTGCCGCTATGTTCTCCGACTATATTTCCGGCACCGCTCGGTAATCTCCGGCGGTCGCTATCTTACAGTCATATCATTTGCTGTTAGAAAATTTGTGGCCCAACTATTTTTCTCTCTAGTAATCTAATGACACACTCAAACCATGGAATGACAGGATGTGTGTTGTCTCTCATATGTTCGCTACTATATTCTTGTATTGAAAATGTTTTTGTACGAATTGCAAACATTAGGGGGATTTATATCTACATTTAGATATTTCTCATGTATCTGTGGTCATATTGTACATAGTCTGTTGTGATTTGTTTATGATACAATTGGATAGTTTATGTTCAGCGTTTTATTTTGATACTTGCTATTAACTAACTATCTGGGAACTTTAGTATTTCCTTCTTCAGTCAAAGTGACAGAAACTTTAGTCGATTAAGACTAGTTGTTATTCAGATGTAATCGTCTACAGGTCACCGATCAGCTATCGCCCTTTTTTATGTTATTTCTGACATATTCCATGTATTAAACTGAGACAAAATTGTTATGGATGAGCAACTTCTTTATTATGCGCAAATGCGCTTATTTCTGTCCATGAAATAAGATTCAGTTGATTTCTGTCATAAAGCTACAATAGGGAATTCAAAACGATTCTAATCGCAGATTGGTTTCCGATTGGCGATCGATTTCGTCTACACAAGGTGTTGACTCTTTGCAACCTGGAGGCGACCTATCGGTGATTGATCAGTCATGAGGCGGTGATCCACCGGCGCTTCATCGGTGACTGGTTGCCGGTCGGTTGCAAAGTGGTTTCCAAGCGTGGGTTTGCAACATGTCACCGTCGGGAACAAGACCTGTCTGTGCATTACAGCATCATTTTGTCATAAGTACTCCGAGAGTTCACATCAATTATTTCCATTCATCACTATGGTCCGTAAAGGCAGGAACACAAAAGAACGAAAAATTGTAGAAGATACAATAGAGACTACTGCTGTGGTGCACAGGTCTGCTACAATTGAACAAGGCGGATACCCGATGAGGAGGAAGAGCCATATTATATTTGTACAAGTATCACTTGTCCCCAACTTGATTCAAATAAAACTGTTTTCTATAAACAAAAATCCAGGGGGGCAACTCTCCCCCCCCCCCCCCCCCCCCCGGCTACGGCACTGCATTCTGAGCTAGCCCATGAAATCACCCCCGACTTTCTCTCTCCAACTCTGCTATCAGATTCTCCTAGTCTCCTAGCTGTGGCCTTCTCGCGATCCAAGATCTCAGCCAATACTGCCTTCGCGTTGTCCTTCTCATTCGCCAGTACATCATCATGGCAGCAACTGCAGCATTTTGATTTATTCTTTGCAGACGGAGCAGCTGCAACTTTTCTGCTGTTAACATCTGGGCAGCTTGCAAAGAAATGATTTGATTCAGAAAAAGCACCATTTTTATACGCATTATGTTTTGATCGGTGATCGATCGACAACTAGTCACTGACCAGTCCCCGTTCAGTTGCAACAAGTCACCGAAGATTCGCTGACTAGTCACCGATCGGTCTCAACCGGTTGCAAACATTTCGCCGTATCTGCGGTGGACAGTTGCCGATCAGTCACTGACAAGTTGCAAAACCTATCTCTTAATGATCGGCGATCATACGCTAATTCCAAATATGGATAGAAGTAATTGCACCGGTCTCAGCGATCGCCAGTCGGTCGCAAAGGAAATCAGTCGCCAAGAGGTTGCATCGCGATCGCATTGTCTACCTTCCTTTTTATAGCATTACAGCTGGCTCAAATTGGTTGTATATTTGGGCTGATAGAACTAATTTATGATCTGTGTTAGCACATAGTGGATTTATTGGTAATTGTCAACCATCAGTACAATTAGTAGTTATTTAATAAACCTGTGAACTTTTTACCACGTTTTCTTTATCATTTTATTCTTTTTTCATGACACCCCTGATCATTGGAGCACAGCTCCGTGACACAGGGCGAACCGGGATTCGAGCCTATACTGTCATAGGTTCTTGTCGTGATGGCTTGGACAGGAAGAAACACGGATTCATTATTATCATATGGTTGTACATCGAGTTTAAACATGTTACCAACATCATAAGCCTCCAGTGACGTCGTCCCATTTTGATTTGAGGTTTTTACATCTCAGAAAAAAAGTCTAGTGACGACGTAATATTATTTTTACGGGGGCTTGTTTTCGCAGAGTAACCACTTTGCAGGAACTTTCTACAGAAGGTTGGTGGCACGGGTAGTCCATTTCCCTGATCAGAGTTGCGTCCCTTGGACACGCCAGAAACCTATGATCGTGTGATTCGCCCCTATTGTGTTTCTAGGTTTGTCAGCACGATACCCGTGCTCGTGGGTTTCACCAAAGTGGTAAACGTCTAAGAATTGCATCACTTTAGGCTTTCCTCCCACATCAAACTGATACGCCGTGATATAACTGGAATACTGTCAAAAGCGGCTTTAAAATCAACATATTCACTACAGAAAGTACCTTTGTCCCATAGATATATTTTGCACGTGAACACAATCTATTTATAGACATGACAATGAGGTGAAACCAAACAACAAATGGTGCGTGTTATTAAGCCAGAAAGAACCCACACCCTGCAACCGCCTGCAGAGGCGCTGATCAACCACAATGCTTTTAGGAATTGCCCTTTTCAAGTTCATGTACGCCAGCAAGGGATATTTTACGTCCGTTTCCTGAGGTTCACGGAGAGTGTGTTGGAAACATGAAATTGTTGATAAATGTTGTTTTAGATTTCTTTTTCTAAAATGACAGATAAATGACAGGGCTCGGTTAAAAATCTAAACACCAGTGGTCGGAGATGAAAAGGGGTTCAATCATACACGTGACGGACTTCAGTTGTCAGCTGCACGTGTTCATCGTGTCATCTTGTCATCGAATTCTTTTTATATATTATTTCACTACAATGTATCCCGATTTGTTCGATTGTTTTCTGGTATTTCTTGTATTTAGACGGTTTATAAGTTGGATAAATATAAAACCTCAGTGCCAGAGAATATCCAGTGTCGATTATCTGACGAAACAGATTCCATATGGCGTAAAAGGCAAAATAGCGGTAAGGTTTGTAGAAAATGGTGACTTTGAAATATTTTGTTTATTTTATTTTCAATTTCAGAGTCGGGGATTCTGGAAACAAATAGAAAAGGGTTTTTCCTCATATATTATGCTTTGTGGCGTGTTTAGTTGGAGAATTTACATATGAAAGATGTCTTCACTTGCTTATTGTATTTTTCATTCATTATTCCATATTTAGATATTTTAGCTGAAATATATCCGAAAGATTGTATAATGACGGGGCCGGGGATCGAACCCCGGACCTACCGCTCTCCGGGCGGACGCGCAGCCACAAGACCACGGAGTGTGACATGTATGGCTACATGGGCTTTTATAACCTTTTTAATATAAAGAGAGTGAGTGAGTGAATATGGTTTTACGCCGCTTTTAGCAATATTCCAGCAATATCACGGCGGGGGACACCAGAAATGAGCTTCACACATTGTACCCATGTCGGGAATCGAACCCGGGTCTTCGGCGTGACGAGCGAACGCTTTAACCACTAGGCTACCCGACCGCCCCAATATATAGAGAGAAATAAAACACATAGGTAAACTTCCTCAAGTATGGAATGAACGTTATGGCAAGACATGATAATCCCTCACAAAAATAATGCGATGAAAACAGAAAAAAACCCAGATTATGAACTCATAAGAAGAGAATCGAACCTGTATTAAAGATGTAACGATGCAAAAATGGCTTGTAAGAATGTTTATCTCCCTTGGAGGACTAAACGTGAACTCCTTACGCTAGGTCATAGGACTCGCTAGCACTGTTGACAATTGAAAAAGCTTTGTTTAGAGTTACAATTACAGTTCAGAGAGCGGAAATGGGTCGAGTCAGTATACGTCCCTTTCCCAGACCAGGCCTCAGAGCTACGTTTATCGAGAGGTATGCCTGTTATACTCGCGCGTGTAGTTCAACTATACTGTATTTAAGCTTCCGCACGACAATACGAAATGCGCGGCTATCTATAGACAAATCCCAGTCAAATTATAACAATTCCATACATTTTTGTCTGAATAAATATTATGAACGCAGTATTCTTTTATATATAATATGTATATATACTTACTCGATCAAGCTCACTCAATTTTAACACATTTAAAGCCATTATTTTTTTTATCTGTACTGTTAGTGAGGTGACGATTGAGATCATCTGTGGTTTGATTCAGTCTCTTTAGACATCGTGGTAATGTATCACACTACACTAAACTAATAAATACATGCATGTTTGTAAAATCCGTTTGTCTAGGTACTAGAACGGACATATACATACATATTCATTATACACATTCTCGCAATCTCACAAATATAGCTGACAAACGATAGCCGAACTTTCTTTTCAGAACACAGGCCACTTTAATTTACTCTGATCCCTTATTTTTTGCTATCAAGTCATCAGAGAGGTAAACAGATATGTTTAAACTGGTTAGCTCACTTTTTTTATACAATATTTTCTTTTGACAATCGGATTTAAATAATTTCTATCAAAGGGGAATCTCGACTTAACATAAGCTTTACCACTATATCCTATATCGTCGAATTCACAGATAAAAAATATGGAAAAATACATGCTTTGGCATATTCGAATCCAGTGCCATTTATGCTGACTCACTTTAATCTAGTCAACGTTCTTCAGAATGTATTCTTTGTAGCCACCCTACACATAGGTTATGAAATAGAGCTTTGCGTATTTTCGTTATTTTATAAACAACTACAGACAACTACAGACTCTTCATATTGCCTTGTATATAGCGTGTGCGTAAATCATCGCCGCTACCCCTACAACCAGTTTAATACAATTATTTTTTGTATACTCAAGCCACTGACTGGTCACTCTACACATTACTATTATATAAAAGAAACATCCTTGTGTATTTTCCCCATCAATTAAACGAGAGGCGTACGTTGGTCTGGGAAAGTGACAACTACAGAGTCTTCATATTGCCTTTTTTAGATATGTAAAAATCCTCATGGCTACCCCTACAATGGGTATAATACAGTGCTTTTTTATTCGGTCCACTGAAACGGCACTCTTACACATTATTATGAAAAAAGAGCATTGCGTATGTTTCATATTATTTTATACGGGGCGCGAACATTGGTCTGGGAAAGGAACAACTGCACACTGTTCCTATTGCCTTGCATTGGCTGTGGGAAAATCATCGCCACAATACCCCCATAACTAGTATTATACAATTATTATTTGTACGGGGGACGGGCATTGGTCTGGGAAACTGGGACAACTTGTTGCACGAATGGCCTTGTATATACATAACAGGATTCTCTACTCCAGTATAACAATATCTACTCTACTGTATAAACATTGCTTCCGACTTGTATATACTTGTCAACCAGGCTCTGTATATCACTTTGATAACGGCTTTAGAACCTACACCGAAAAGTCGCTCTTAATTGTAATAAATAAGTTGTTCATCCATAAATTCTTATCCTTACTTAACATGTGATTCTCAATAAACCCTCAGTAAAGTCAAGGTACCCCGTACAGCATCCTGAGCGAAGAACCGAACACAGTGATCAAATAATTATATTGGTCTGGGAAAGGGACAACTACAGACTGTTCATGTTGCCTGGTGTGGGAACAATAACCCCACTACCCCACAACTATTATAATACAAATATGTTTTTTTATATTTACGCCACTGACATGTCACACTGCACATTATCATATAAAGGAAACATCCTTGTGTAGCGTGTGTGTAAATAATCGTCGCTACCTCCACAACTGTTGTAATGTATATATATATATATATATATATTTATATGTATGACCCCTACTGGTCACTCTACACATTATTAGTTGAAAGAAACATCCCTGTGTGTTTTACATTATCCATTTAGCGGGAGACGAACAGTGGTCGCGGAAAGGGACAAGTACAGACTTTTCATATTGCTTGTGTATAGAGTGTATGTAAATAATCGTCGCTACCTCCACAACTGTTGTAATATATTTATTATTCGCACTATGTATGACCCCTACTGGCCACACTACACAGTATTAGATAAAAGAAACATCCGAGTGTGTTTTCCATTATCCATTTAGCGGGAGACGAACAGTGGTCGCGGAAAGGGACAGCTGCAGACTTTTCCTATCACTTGTACATAGCGTGTGTGTAAATAATCGTCGCTGCCTCCACAACTGTTGTTATATATCTATTATCTTTACTATGTATGACTCCTACTGGCCACACTACACATTATTAGATAAAAGAAACATCCCTGTGTGTTTTCAATTATCCATTTAACGGGAGACGAACAGTGGTCGCGGAAAGGGACAGCTACAGACTTTTCATATTGCTTGTGTATAGAGTGTGTGTGTAAATAATCGTCGCTGCCTCCACAGCTGTTGTAATATATCTATTATCTTTACTATGTATGACTCCTACTGGCCACACTTCCCATTATTAGATAAAAGAAACATCCCTGTGTGTTTTCCATTATCCATTTAGCGGGAGACGAATAGTGGTCGCGGAAAGGGACAGCTACAGACTTTTCATATTGCTTGTGTATAGAGTGTGTGTGTAAATAATCGTCGCTGCCTCCACAGCTGTTGTAATATATCTATTATCTTTACTATGTATGACTCCTACTGGCCACACTTCCCATTATTATATAAAAGAAACATCCCTGTGTGTTTTCCATTATCCATTTAGCGGGAGACGAATAGTGGTCGCGGAAAGGGACAGCTACAGACTTTTCATATTGCTTGTTTATAGAGTGTGTGTGTAAATAATCGTCGCTGCCTCCACAACTGTTGTAATATATCTATTATTTTTACTATGTATGACTCCTACTGGCCACACTACACATTATGAGATAAAAAAAACCCATCCCTTTGTGTTTTCCAATATCAATTAAACAGGAGACGAACACTGGTCGCGGAAAGGGACAAGTACAGACTTTTCATATTGCTTGTGTATAGAGTGTATGTAAATAATCGTTGCTACCTGCACAACTGTTGTAATATATTTATTATTCGCACTATGTATGACCCCTACTGGCCACACTACACAGTATTAGATAAAAGAAACATCCCTGTGTGTTTTCCATTATCCATTTAGCGGGAGACGAACAGTGGTCGCGGAAAGGGACAGCTACAGACTTTTCATATTGCTTGTGTATAGAGTGTATGTAAATAATCGTAGCTGCCTCCACAGCTGTTGTAATATATCTATTATCTTTACTATGTATGACCCCTACTGGCCACACTACACAGTATTAGATAAAAGAAACATCCCTGTGTGTTTTCCATTATCCATTTAGCGGGAGACGAACAGTGGTCGCGGAAAGGGACAGCTGCAGACTTTTCCTATCATGCACTTGTACATAGCGGGTGTGTAAATAATCGTCGCTGCCTCCACAACTGTTGTAATATATCTATTATCTTTACTTTTCATCACTCCTACTGGCCACTCTACACATTATTAGATAAAAGAAACATTTCAGTGTGTTTTCCATTATCCATTTAGCGGGAGACGAACAGAGGTCGCGGAAAGGGCAGCTACAGACTTTTCCTATTGCTTGTATATAGCGTGTGGGTAAATAATCGTCGCTGCCTCCACAACTGTTGTAATATATTTATTATTTGTACTACGTATGACTCCTACTGGCCACACTTTCCATTATTAGATAAAAGAAACATCCCTGTGTGTTTTCCATTATCAATTTAGCGGGAGACGAACAGTGGTCGCGGAAAGGGACAGCTACAGACTTTTCATATTGCTTGTGTATAGAGTGTGTGTGTAAATAATCGTCGCTGCCTCCACAGCTGTTGTAATATATCTATTATCTTTACTATGTATGACTCCTACTGGCCACACTTCCCATTATTAGATAAAAGAAACATCCCTGTGTGTTTTCCATTATCCATTTAACGGGAGACGAACAGTGGTCGCGGAAAGGGACAGCTACAGACTTTTCATATTGCTTGTTTATAGAGTGTGTGTGTAAATAATCGTCGCTGCCTCCACAGCTGTTGTAATATATCTATTATCTTTACTATGTATGATTCCTACTGGCCACACTTCCCATTATTATATAAAAGAAACATCCCTGTGTGTTTTCCATTATCCATTTAGCGGGAGACGAATAGTGGTCGCGGAAAGGGACAGCTACAGACTTTTCATATTGCTTGTGTATAGAGTGTGTGTGTAAATAATCGTCGCTGCCTCAACAACTGTTGTAATATATCTATTATTTTTACTATGTATGACCCCTACTGGCCACACTTCCCATTATTATATAAAAGAAACATCCCTGTGTGTTTTCCATTATCCATTTAGCGGGAGACGAACAGTGGTCGCGGAAAGGGACAGCTACAGACTTTTCATATTGCTTGTGTATAGAGTGTATGTAAATAATCGTCGCTGCCTCCACAGCTGTTGTAATATATCTATTATCTTTACTATGTATGACCCCTACTGGCCACACTACACAGTATTAGATAAAAGAAACATCCCTGTGTGTTTTCCAATATCAATTAAACAGGAGACGAACACTGGTCGCGGAAAGGGACAACTACAGACTTTTCATATTGCTTGGATATAGCGCGTGGGTAAATGATGGTCACTACCCCCACAGCTGTTGTAATATATAGAATATTTTTGCTATGCATGACCCCTACTGGTCACTTTACACATTGTTATATCAAAGAAACATCCATGTGTGTTTTCACTTATCAATTAAACAGGAGACGAATAGTGGTCGCGGAAAGGGACAACTACAGACTTTTTATATTGCTCGCTTATAGCATGTGGGTAAATAGTGGTCACTACCTCCACAACTGTTGAAACATAATGATATGACTCCTACTGGCCACACTACACATTATTAGATAAAAAAACCCATCCCTGTGTGTTTTCCAATAT